GAAATCTCGTAGTTAACAAAGGAAGTAGTAATTTCTTATGTTTAAATTTATTATGACCCTTGGCATAGCTGATTTTCTTTTATTAAGAAAGGGAACTTGCACAGTACTCTTCTAAAAAGTCAAAAAGAAACAAGAACATAGCCACATAACACATTCTTTTAAAATACCTCATAAATTTCCTTTTTGCGATCACTTGTTAATGAGTTTCCAGTAGGATTGTTGCCATTTGGGATAGTATAAAGAAATTTGGGGGTGTTTTTCTTAGGGTTCTTTGAATCTTCTGGTTTCCATTTAGAAAGTATTTCTTTGAGGGAGTTTGGAATAATTCCATATTCATCACTGCAAACGTTAATAATGTTGCAGCCCAGTGGTAGAAGCTGTTGAGCACAAAGGAAAACAGAAAGCCCAAGGTTCAGACATGATTACAAAATATGTGTCATTGATTCTTCTTATATTAACTGGGAATGTTACCGTTTACACTCTTCAGTTCATAAACCTGCACTCAGCTCTGTGCTCCTGATGGTTGAGGTTGTATATTCTAAAACTATTGTTGCCCCGGGGTAGATTACATTATGGTTCAAAAAGACTCCCTATCAATTCGCAGGGGAAGGATTATACTTCTTTCTTCCTATATGTCAGGCTTGGCCATGTTTCTGGCACTGGCCAAAAAACTGTGAGCAGAAGCGATGTGTGTCCCTTCCAAGCAGAAGCTTTAAAATCCAGCTTATGGTTCTCTCTTTCTCTTTTCCTTCTGCTTTGAGATTCACAATGGTGCAGAAAGAGGCTGCTTCTGGCAACTTGGGGCTTGGGATGAAGGTGACATGGAACAGAGCCGTAGTTGCCTCGCAGTGGCCATGTGGTATGAGAGAAAAATGTCTGTAGTGGTAAGCCACTGAGATAGATATTGTTACATAACACAACCCAGCCTCTTCTGACGAATTATCTTTATAGGTATAATTAGAACTGGTTCATAAAGTCAGTGTTTATTAATAAATGTTTTTTGACCGTAAATTAATTCTATAAAGCATCTGTTATGCTAATATATAAACTAGTTACAAGCAAAGGTGATATTCAAAATATTTAACAAGTGGTGTAGCATGGGCACATCAGATATAGCTACAGGCTGGAAGGGGGTCCTGGAGACTCCCTGCTATGCCAGACTCCCTGCTAATAATCCATCGTGGGAGGGTCAGAGGGGTCTTAGGAGAGGGCTAGGAAAGCCAGGGTGGTAATGGGACAGTCGGGGGGATAAGGTAGCCACTCACCAATGATCGTGGAAGTACTTCAGTATTTTACGAATTGCTAAAGCTGAACTGGCAAGTAGTAGCCTTACTTATAGTTATAATTTTATAAAAATCTTGTGGAATCTTATTATTGGATGAAAACAAACGCAAAAAATCAGAACTTAAAAAAATAACAATAATCGAATGAGGTTCTCAGAAAAAAATTTCAAAAGATAAGCAAACACTTTTTAACACTCAAATGTAGAATTATGCACTAAGTGGGGATAATCAAGTTGCTACTTATGAAAAATTTAAACAGTCTAAGATAGGAGACTAGACTTTGGGTGATGAGTATGCAATGCAATATATAGATGATGTATTATAGATTTGTACACTTGAAACTTATATAATGTTATTAACCAATGTCACCCCAATAAATTTACTAAAAAGTAAGAGGTCTTAGACTTAAAAAGCACATCTACCATGAATATAATAAATCAATATTGGGCCACAAAATAAACACATATTTCTTATTAGCATATGTCCTTATAGGTTGGCACTCAGTTTCTGTTTGAGTATGTGAAAACATTGTGCATATGTACATGCATACTGTTTATGTAGACACAAATTTTATACTTATAGGATTATATAATCTTAAGTCTTAGGAGTTTAGGAAAATAATTAGTAATTAGTATTCAATCATTAGGAAAAGGCAATTATTTTACTTCAGTTTTCTTAACTGTAGTAAAATATATATAACAAAACTTTTACCACGCTGAAGAGTATAATTCGGTGGCATTAATTACATTCACAATGGGTGCATCCTGCATCATCGATTTCCAAAAGCTCTTCATCACCCCAGGTAGAAACTCTGTACTCATTAAGCAATAGCTCCCCATTCCTCTCTCCCCCATACCTGGGTAACCTCTAATGTACTTTCTGTCTCTATGAATTTACCTATTCTAGATGTTTCATGTAAGTGGGATTATACAGTATGTGTCTTTTTGTGTCTGGCTTCTTTCATTTGGCATAATGTTTTTGAGGTTTATCCATGTTGTAACATGTATCAGAACTTTGTTCCTTTTTTATAGCTCAATAATATTCTATTGTACGTACATACTACATTTTGTTATTCCTTCACCCATTGATGTACGATTGGGTTGCTCCCACCTTTTGACTATTGTGAATAATGCTGTAGTGAACATTTGTATTTCTGTTTGAGCATCAATTTTTAATTCTTTTTGGGCATATATCAGAAATGGAATTGGTGAGTCACACAGTATTTCTGTGTTTAATTTTTTGAGGAACTGACAAGTTTTCCACAGTGGCTGTATCATTTTACATTTCTACTAGCAATGTACAAGGATTCTGATTTTTCCACATATTCACCAATGTTCTATATTCCATTAAAAAAATCATAGCCATCCTAGTACATGTGAAGTAATATTTTTCTGTGGTCTTGATTTTCATTTCTCTGATGACTAATTGATGCTGAACATCTTTTCATGTGCTTATTGGCCATTTGTATATCTTATTTGGAGAAATATCTATTCAAGTCGTTAGTCTATTTTTAAATTAGTTTTTTTGTCTTTTGTTGTTGAGTTATAGGAAGTCTTTACATATTCTGGATATTAAGGCCTCGTCATATATAAAGCTTGCAGATATTTTCTCTCATTCTTTCTCTCATTCCTTTCTTTTGCATGTGAAAATCCAGTTGTCCCAGCACAATTTGTGAAGAGACTATTCTTGTCCTTTCGAATGGCTTTGGTACCCATGTCAAAATCAGCTGGCCCCACATCTATGGGTTTATTTCTGGACTCTTGATTCTATTCCATTGGAATATTCAGAGCATAAAGGCATCTCATTCAATTACCCTTACTTTATGCTAGAATTAGTTTTACAACATTTGTATCGGGTGGCAATCAAGAGTAATTTTGAGCACCCGCAGTGATGAACGATGCTTTACCTTCCTAGAGAGTCAGGTAAGGCTGATGGTTAGAAAGTTGTTATATTGAAATTGTTTCCCTGTAGTTTCTAGTCTTTGGTTCCAATTCTCTCAATCTAAAGACATGCACAGACAAATCTAGTTCCTCTGTCACCTGGCTAACTTTTACATGAGGATAGTTCTCATGTTTGTTGAGTCTTCTCTTTTGGGGGAAGATAGCCACAGTTCCTAAAACCATTCATCATGTAGTATGGTTTCCAGTTTCCTACTCACTCTGATTACTATTCTCTGACTGTCCCACTCGGTGTACTTATCTACCCTAAATCATTGTATCTCAAACAAACCTAATTCTCAGCAGTGCGTTCTGACCAGTGCATAGCAGAGCCAGATGACTAGCTCCCTCCTTCTGGTTATTATAGTCGTATTAATTTAACACTGGAGTGGAAAGTCCTAATTACTATGTTAATTTGCAGTTATATTAAATTGGCATATAACATGATTATACTTAGGCATATAGCAATTAAAGATGGTAATGAAAAAATAAATTTTTGTAAATTATGTCACATTTCAAGTGACATCTGAAGAAAGCTGGGCATGATTTTGCACAACCCAATTTTTTAAAATTTAATTTTATTATTAGTTTCAAGTGTACAGTATACTGGTTAGACATTTATATAGCTTATGAAATAATCCCCCTGATTGCTCTTTTTCTCTCTGTCCCTATGCCTAGCCATTTTATTACAGCTGACTGCATTCTCTATGCTGTGCTCCCCATCCCTGTGACCACCTATCAACTACTAATTTATACTTCTTTAACCCTTCACCCCTTTCTCCCGCTCCCCCAACCCTCCTGTCTTTTAGCCATCACTAGATTGTCTTCTATGTTTGTGAGTTTGTTTTTGATTAGTTTGTTCTTTTTGTTCCTTAGATTCCACATATAAGTGAAATCATATGGTATTTATCTTTCTGTTTGATTTATGTCACCCAGCATAATAACCTCTAGGTCCATCCACGTCGTTGCAAATGGTAGGATTTCATTTCTTTTTTTATGGCTGAGTAATATTCCATTGTATATATGAACCATAACTTCTTTATCCAATTGTCTATTGATGAGCACTTAGGTTGCATCCATATTTTGGCTACCGTAAATAGTTGCACAACCTAATTTTAGTACCTATACATTTAAATTTGATAAAAACAAATGTATAAAACAGAAGACACATTTAACATAGTTTGCATATATCATTTAAGATTCTCTTGTTTACAGATGAAAGATGCTATTTTATTTTTTAGTGGACAGATAATTCTAAAGGTGCAATAGGTTTTTCTTATTTATTATAAGAAAGAGAGTTGCCTTTTATAGAAATGTATACTCACAGCATTAAGTGTTCCTGAATAAATAGGTTCATTTAGGAGGACATTATCTCCACGATTAATGGTCATTTCAAACACCTAACAAAAGAAGCATAGGATAGTTTTGGATAGTATTGTTTCATTCTTAGAACCCTCCTTTTTTTTTTTTAATTTGCAATCACTAAGATTCCAGAGTAGGAGTTGGCATATATTCTGTAAAGTGGCAGATGGTACATATTTTGTGAGCCATAGTGTCTGTGTTGCAACTACTTATCACTGACTCTGTGAAAAAGAGCCATAGACAATATGAAAAAGAATGGGTGTGGCTGAGTTCCAATAAAACTCTATTTACAAAATCAGATGGAGGCTGGATTTGTCTTTCAAGCCAACCTCTGTTCTAGGGTTAAATGAAAATTAACATAACTGCTTTGGCTCCTAAAATTCATATTATCCTTTTAGTCCTTCTTTGAAAATGTATTAAATCTTTACTATAATCCAGGCTTATATAAGGTATGGAAATAAAATGATGAGTATAATGACATGGTTATTAGTCTGGAGGTACTAGTCTACCAGGAAAGCTAGACACTAATCAACTAATTACTCAAATAAATGTATATTTAAAAACAATGATGAGTGCTATTAAGTAGATACACAGTGTTTTAAGAGCTGTTGTTAAGAGGACTTGGGTATTCAGGAAACAGAGCATTCAGAGAAAGCTTCCCCGAGAAAGTGATGAGTTGGTGTAGAGGTGACAATGGGTACATTCTGAGAAACTGAAAGAGTTCTGTGGCTTGAAGCAGAGTATAAAGAGGAGAGTGGAGTGATAGCAGACAAAAGTGGGCAGAGACCACACCATGAAGGCATTTGGGCCAACTGAGGCCAGTAAGAAGTTTAGGTAGAGGGTGGGAACAGGGAGTCAGTCATATTATCAGATATCTGTTTTGAGAAGATCATTCTGGTTGCAATAAGAAAGAATGAAAGAGGAATGAGAATATATGTGGAAAGTTTGGAAAGTTTTTATGATTATTTGGCACAGATAAGGGTAGTCTGAATTAGAATGATGATGATGGTATTGGAGAGGAGAACTGAGAAGTATTTAGGAAATCAAACCAACATAATTATGGACTATAGGAGAGAGAGGAAGAGGAAGTATCAAAAATGACTCCTAAGTTTCTGGATATGGAAGTAGATGATGTGAGTGGTGCCATTCCCTGAAAAAACAGACCCCAAAATTTGTCTGAGGGAGAAGATGATGAGTGTGGTTTGGTCTGAGGTGCCTTTAAAACATCTTGTGATATATGTCAGGTGGACAGATGGATAAATGGACTTGGAATTTATCAGCATATGATCGATCATATTGATGTAAATAGAAGTACCCAGGGAGAGTGTACAGAATAAGGGCAGAAGAGGTTTGAGGCCTGAGCCTTGAGGAACCCCAATAAATAATGGCCGTGTAGCAGACATAGCCATGGAGGCAGGGAAAGTGGGCCTCCAGAGAGCTGTCCAATGTGGTGCCCAGAGGCCAGAAGAGGAGAGTATTTCAAAAAGGATGGGAAGGTCGACAATGTCAAAGGATATTTAGAGGCCAAATAAGACAAAGCTTGACACATTTAGGAGATTTTGCAGAAAATATGATGCCTACTGACATCAACAGAGCCAGACAATAGATATTTCCAGCCTAATCAAAGGAGTCTATTATTACTAAATCTTATATCAATCACAGAATAATCTTTTCTTACCTTGCAATGTTTCACAATCCCCAGTTCAAGCCTCTCCTTCCTATCATTTTAACAACCTACATCTCATGGCAAACAGTATTGCCATTATCAATTGAGACAGATTTTACTTTTGTTTACTGATTTGGCCTAAGATGATCAATTTACCATTTCCTTATGAGCTTTTAGCATTTTATGACAAACAGTATTCTCTGAAAAGTTTCTAATTGATTTGGGCTTTACAGGATATCCTAAGACCAAGCAAATTGCTTGAATGGCATGTGCGTTATCAATAGATCAAATGAAAACCTAATTACTTACATTTTCCATGTCAATTAGGGGACATGAGAATGTCAAATATCCTAAATGAAGAGAAGGACTGTTTATTATCTGGTAGCACTGTTTAATAGATGTAGACAGGAACAGAACATAGGCACTTAAAATAATATCTATCCTAGAGGACAAAGTGGAAAAAAATGTTAAACCAGAGTCCCACTTAGGCCTCTGCAATAAGCATGTCTATAAATAAGTAAGTTATTGATGTATTTGGCCATCTATGCTATCTTGCTTCTTTAATATTACTGATGTTGTGACAGGTAAAGAAGAAATTGTCTTGAGCATCTTTGTGGAAAAAAAAGTTCATAGTGTACCTTCCTAAGAAAAGAATTTCATGGAAAAGAACTTTTTTTCACATTAATCTATAGAGCCACAAATGTTTCTCTTCAAGCAAAAACTCTAATAGTAAATAAAAAAGAGGGAGGAAAATTATAAAGATTCCTATTCCCTCAATACATTATTCTATAATAATAATTTAACTAAAATTTATTAAAGCTAACCAGATTACAGCTTTCACATTTACATAAAGCTACTCTGGTTTATGATAAGAGTCTTATTTTAATCTAGATATGAAGATTGAATATTGAGAATCTTTTTTCAGGACTAATTATTCATGAAAAAGAAAAGAAAAATACGACGAAACCATAGTTGCAGTCTCTTTATTGTGGGAACCACCCAGTGTTGGTTACATCTGTGGAGTTCCTGGGACCCAGGAGAGAGACAGATAGAATGCAAGTGAGTGAGCGAACGTGAGGCTGAGAAAGAAAGAGAGAGCGGGAGAGAGAGAGAGAGAAGGGTCCACAATGCCAAGTATCCAGGTAACCCTCCCAGGGGGTGGGGAGTGGTGCCAGGGAGAGACAGCTAGGAAAATGCTGATTCTACTCCATTAGCCAGTATGAAGAACTTGAGTGTGTGTGTGACCAGAGAGAGAGAGAGAGAGAGAGAGAGAAAACACCTAGAGTGAAGTCAGAGACACAGACATATACTTAGATCTAGAGAAACACAGCCAGATGGAGACGAGATACATGCAGTGGCAAGCACAGTTGATTACATAAGCAGACATGCAAAGAAATTACATTTCATCTGAGGAGTATCAAGATATGCCCATTAAAGAATTTAAAAATTACACTACAATTTTATAACTAAAATAACATAAATCAAACGTAATGTGAATCTTTGAGTCAGGTGAAATTAAGCAGTGCTCACTAAGCTTCTGGTAGGAGTTAAATAGGATTAATGGGAATCCTGTTTGACTCATAGCTCTGGGTCTTTGATCACATGATCTGTTTAAGAAAAATCAGGCTGGTGAATGTTTTTTAAGTTCCCCGTTTGCAATTCTAGGTAAAGACAAGAAAGACTACCAGTAACTCACAAAACATGATCCTCCTGTTTGTAAGAGATGACTATTTATGAAAATATTTGATTTTTAATGTGGGGTAGGTACCCTTTCCTTTCAGTCTTACCTTATTAAGACCGTCTTGGCTGCCAGATGTGACACATATGTCCATTTGTCCTTGGCTGGATGGATAATGGATAGTGGGAGGATTGTGCAATTTTACTTGTAACTGTTTTAGCCAGGACAACAGCTCTGGGATTCTAAAGTATAAAATGTATTTTCAAATTTATAGTAGTAAATATTATAATAAAAGTAGAGAGAAATTAAATGATAGCCTTATAATAGGTACTTTATACATTCAATTTTAAAATCCTCAACCCTTTTTGCTAATATTAATATCCCTATTTAAATGACAAGGTAACAGACTTAGAGATTAAGAAATTCACATAAAGTCAATTAGCCAGTGATTAAATAAGCCGAGATTTAAGTCAACATCTTTCTTATTCCAAAGCCCACATTCCTTATTTTATAGAGCACTCACAGCATAATAGATTCTTCGTTCTCCTTAGGAATATTTCCACAGGCTACCTAGAAGTTCAGGCTCAAAAAGTTCTTGGAAAGAAAAGCCTATGTATGTATTATATATAATATAATTCATATATACAAAACATGTATTATATTTCAATATACATTTCAATCACAGTAGAAGGCTTTAATAAAATGTAATTACACTCTATAAATTATCCTTTATCACTGGAAAAAGATCAGCTAAGGAAAATTTTAAGGTATGTGTTCTAGGTTGCCTGTAAGAATTAAAGACATCTGAACTGAGGGTAACATATTTTCATGGCTGCCTGTTTAGAAAGAGAACATCATTCTTAAAAATTGCCCCAGGACTTTAAAATTATTGCTTCCTGGAACATCCTTTTCATCCCTTCTCCTAACCTGCTTCTTCACCTAGCTATCTTCTCATGTTTTTTTAGTCTCAGCTCAAATGGCACTTTTTTTCCCAGAAGCCTTCTCTGACTCTCTCTATTATCTAAGAGTGAGAAGCACTCAATATCCCTGTGGTTATTAATTATTCTTTGAAAACTCTTCTCCAAACCTTCCTAACTGTTGAATGCCCAGTTAAAAAAGATAAAATCACTTTATCAGTGGGCCTTAGACTACTGCTCATAAAACGAGCCAACAAAACTCAAGTATCTATAGTCACCCAGCAGTTTGAGAATACTGAAGTGCTCTCTTCATCATCTGTTCGTCAAACTGGATGGTCTTGCCATCTTCTGTGGTGATAACAGCAGTCTTAAAAGGGAACATGCTTGGATTTGGTGATCCAGTAGCCAAAGAGATGACGGATTTCGGTGCCCTGATCAATAACTCATCTACAATAAATATGGAAGAGAAGAAGAAACACTTTCATTGAAGACTTTTCTAAATAGACATAGTTTAGTATGTTGCTTTGTAGCCAATACAACTGTAAAGTTTAACAATATCTAGCGATAGGATGCTAATCTAAAATAGACATAAAATAACTGTTTTTTGGACCAGCCTCATTGGTGGAGGAACTAAGCAATGGAGATGTCCAACTAAGAAGGCAGAGTAATCAGGAAAGGCGCCAAAGGCCACACTACACTATCAGAAAACGCTCCTCCATTTAGTCCTTACCTGCCTGTCAAGCTTCATGGCTCACGCCTTTCTCTCCCCATTCACCAGGCCCTCTCCACTCGGCACACATCTGCACACTGTGCCTAACCCCTACTCGTGTCGGGAAGAACCTTTCTAGATAGCATTCCCTGTCTCTGTCCAAGGACCTGTCCCACAACAGCCTGGGCCTCTATTGCTGCTCCTACTACTTTCGAGCAGAGATAATAGATTCCCCGCCTAGCCCGAGTTCTTCATGATTCGCATGCAGAGCCCGGTTCACACAGAGCTTTCACAGTTGAATGACTGTAACCGAGCGGTGACTGTAGACACCACCCTTAGGGGCTCTGAGAGAACCACCCCCCACCTCCAGGAGAAGGGGTGCTGCCCCAGCACTCACTCAACATTCGGAGGGCAGAAGGCCTTCTTGCTGCACTCGTCGCCGTGAGGAACCGTGCGTAATTCATGTCTTTGATACTCAAGCACCCTCTTCAGCAGTTGAAAGCTAAAACAACCAAACAGCTGCGTCAGAGCACTTCCTCCTGTCTCTGGAAACGCCACCTCAGTTGTCCTGCAGCTGCGTTTGGGTTCCCCAGTGCGGTGCTGGAAGAGCGCCACCGAAATTTCCTGAACAGGCCTGGGAGGGTGGCAAGGCTGGTAAAATCCACCCGCAGAGAGAGGGTTCGCCCCATCTCCCCCGCCCGCGCGGGGGTCGAGGCCAGGTCGGCGCTGCCACTCTCCGTCCCACCCCTCACCGCAGCCTATAGTCGTCGGCCGCGCTCACCTCCCGGCTGAGGTCATCGCCCGCGGCGCGCGGATCCGGGAGTGAGCGCTGCGAGGCCCCTGCAGACCTGGGCCAGTGCCTGCCTGAACCAGTACAAAGAGAGTACGTCTCTCGACCTCGCAGCTGGGAGAGCCTTAAGGAAGTGTCCCCGTAGGCAAAGGCACCAGTACTGGGATCTCGCCGAGGGGCTAGTGGGATGTGGGGCCCGTAATTTCCCCGCGATCCTAATCCGTGAGTACCATCTGGCGGCGGCTTTGGTACGTTGCAGCCGGCTCCCTAAATTGCATTCCGCCTGGCGCTGCATGGGACTGGACGCTGGTGGCTTACCTGGCCTCCCCTGGCGACGCAGACAGTGTGAAATACTGTCCTTTCATAATACAACCATAGGGACTATTCTGAGAAGTCACCAAGGTGACCCTGATGATTTCCAGCGTAACTTTCTCCAAGATCTGAGCATTTTAGAGTGAGAGTGGAGTGTTGGTAGAAATTTCAGACGATCACTCAGAAGATCTCAAATTTTAGTGTCTCCCTTCTCCTTGGATTTTTCTGACCGTTCATTATGGACTTAGGTTGGAAGTGTATATCCAAAGAGATTCATCTGTGAGTCTAGCACCATGCCATTTCCTTACAGAATAGTTAGTCCTCCCCACCTTCCACCTTTCACGGCATCCCCCACCCACTCATTTTTCTCTGTGATTTTTCCATCCTGAATCGCCGAGGTGGAATTCACAGTGTTCTATGTGAGCACTTTAATGAGACATCTCTCTTTTTTATTCTTAAATAGGTATAAAAGAGTCATTTATTTTTAACAAATTCAAAACTATGTTCAATCATGCAGTAAACATTAAGTACTTTCTGGAGGAATGTTGACACATTGCCAAAGGGCTCTTGTCTAGACATAAATAAATTGGTCTAGATATGAATTGCTCTTATGCAGGTCCTGGCATCAGAAGAATGAAGTAACCTAGTGAAATCTCTAAGTAAGCCAGCAGCTAAGTAACAGGGGAATATCATTAGTAAAGCTGTTAGAAACCCAAGAGACTGTAGAGTTCTGGATTCAGAGGCTTGAAGTACATCAGTTTTCTCACAAATCTGTTGTTGGCAGGATTAAACGAGATAATCTATATTAAGCTCATTAGCACAGTGGCCTGCACATTGTAAAAACACCCAGTAAACGTTAGCTGTTTTATTATGAATAGCACTGATGCTTTTAGCAAAATTTAAGGACTCAGTCTCCAAATGCTATTGGCTAGAGAAATTATGTGGCAACTTTTAAGTTATATCATATGTACAATTAAGAATCTTTCTGTGACTGTCTATTTTAAAAAGGATTGCCTTTGAATGTTTCTAGAAATTAGCTCAAGAAGCTCTAAATACATCTAAATAAGTTATAGACCAAAGTTAATTATGAAATATAACTAGAAATATTGATTTTACAGCCTTCGGGCCTTTTTATTTATTTACTTATTTTTTTGCTGTAAGTACTGTGGTTCTCTCAGATGCTTAACACAAATTTAAACTTCTTTTCCTTCCATATTAGGAAACTGCTTGGTGAAAAGAGTTTGAAGTTCTGGGCCAAGAAAGACATGAAAGATTAACCTTTGCAACTATGTTCATGCACATGTCTTACTTCTCATACTAGTTATTACAGACATTTAAAAAATACAGAACTCATTTTTCTCCCCTGTCCAATTCAAGGAACCCAAGCTACAGAGATTTAAAGCCATCAAACTATAAGGTTCTCAACCTTAAACAGTTTGCTGTATTTTCTATTTGGCCTGCCCCGAAGGTGGGGGTTGAGGGTGTTGATTGATTACAAGGTGAGTGATGATTTAGACTAGGTAGAGAGTCAGAGAAGTGACCCATCAGGGCAGGCTAATGGAATGCAGGGACCTGAGGATTGATTGTGTTTAGAAAATACAAGGCATAAAATTGCTACAGCGATAGGAAAGGAACAGGCAAGGGTTAAGTTGAAGAGAGCTTATCTGACAACCAGAAGCTGAAAATTGAAGATAAAGTCAATTGCCAGAGAAAGCATACAGACCGGTCTTTGAAATTGTCTGGAGCAACAGTAGAAGGCATTCTCCTGAGGAAGATGAATGAACAAGGTTCACAGCTCAGTGCTGCCTTTTTAAAGACTTGCCTTGAACTGCCTGAGGATAGAATGAAAGGTGCCAGATCTTCTGGGTTCAATAATTCTCTAAACATTTATTACATTTATTGAATGCTTACTTTGTGCTAGGAGCTGTAATGGATTTTAAAAGATAACTGAGACAAGTCACTGCTCTGGATGAAAAAGTGTCCATTGAAGAGTTAATAATTTCATTTAATTCAGTGTCAGTGGCAGAGGTAGATACAAGCTGCTAAGGAAAGCAGAGAGAAGGTAGTGGTTATTTCTTATGGACAGAAGTTCTCAATTGGGTTAGGAACATAAGCTTCTTTTCCTCTCATATTCCTTTGATGATCTTAGTCTTGGTTATGCTCATAGTCTAAAATCAAACTGTCACATGCAGGCTAATTATCATTTAGTACTTAAAACTTAGAGGTCACTCATGGGAAGACCTGTTTTTTACTTAAGAGATTTATCATAGAGCCTTTTCCATAATCTGTGAGGGCGTCAAACTACAGAAGACCTAATTCGTTCAAAGAAATTTTGCTGACGGTTGAGATTAGAGATGGAAAATGTGTATGTTTTTTGTGGAGTCGGGTGGGAAAGCATATTATAAACTATTGTTGTGTGACAAGTTATCCTAAAACTTAGCAGCTGTATTATTAATCTGCTGGGGCTGCCATAACAAAATCCCACAGGCTGAGTGACTCAAACAACAGAAATTTACTTTCTCACAGTCCTGCAGGCTGGAAGTCCAAGATCAAGATGCTGGCAAGCTTGTTTTCTCCTCAGGCCTCTCTCCTTGGCTTGCAGCGGGCTGCCTTTTCACTGTGTCCTCGCATGGCCTTTTCTCTGTGTGTGTATCCCTAGTGTCTCTTCCTCTTCTTGTAATGACAGCTCCCATATTGGGTTAGGGCTCCATCCTAACAACCGTGTTTAACCTTAATTACTTCCTTAATGCTCTATCTTCAAACAGTCGCCTTTGGGATTAGTGCTTCAATATAAGAATTGGCGGGCCGGGGTGGGAAGGTGGG